TAGTGTCTCTCTCTTTTGGGGAGTGTTTTTTGTGTTTGTATGCATTTATGGCATCCCAAGGATTTTTGGCTGAAAGGTGACATGGCTTTTCTACCCCTCTGTTGTCTTCTCCATCCACTGCCTGTATTCCTGTCTGCACAACTCCAAACCAAATCCCTTCCCACTTTCATGCAGCACTGTGTCAGTGGCTGAGTGTGACTGAATGTTCACAGAGCAGATATGGCAATAGTGACACTACTGCTGGCTTTTGGGATAACAGCAATAAACCTTGCAGAGGTCCTACAGATAAAACCAGCCTCTTTTCTGTGATATTAAAACCAGAGCTGATCATCTAGTTCCTCTTTGGTTTTGTGTTCAGAGATTAAGAACTGATACAAAGATATTAAACCCTATACTGGATATTATGGGAATAATGGCTTCTTATCATTTCAGCCACGCCTTTGACCAAAACACTTACATTTGCCTCATTGTAGAGCTTATTATAAACATCACATCTATTGCTTTACTGCCACGCTATACTCTTTGAAAAAGGACTCAGCTAGCCAACCAAAAAAAGGGAGTTTTGTATGAAAATGTCTTGCACTAAATACATAAACAATCCAAATGCAACAAGAATCTTCTAAGGAAAGTCACAGCACAGATCAATCAGTACCCATGGCCAAAAAGTTCTTACAAAATTGCACTCAGATACTTGTGAGGAGTTTCCACTGCTTTATGTATCCTTCTTTTTTCTTCTCAATAGCAGGTAGGGGAAGTAATTCCGGGTTTTTGTTTGTTTTTAAACTACTAGAGATGTCTGCAGAGAAGAGAACTCCCAAGTCCTCTCTGCACTGTTTGACACAGTTATTTATGGATTTGCTGTTTTGGATGTTTGTGCTTGGAGCGCTTGGTTGGCCATCCAGTTGTCACCAGCAATGCAGTAGGAATAAAGTGTCAAATTCTCAGAAAGATTCATGTGTGTGTGTGTATTTTTAAATGCCTGAAATATTATTTTTAAGCTTTCATCTTCAAAGATCCACTTACCATTCAATGGTTGCATTCACATGAGCACAGTTTTAAGCAGAAGAGCTCATTCCTTATTTTGATGTAGGATCAGTCCTGCTGTTTCATTTAAACCTTATCCCCTGTCATGTAGTAGAGCTGACAGGATGACAAAAATAAAGGCTTTAGTGCTAACAAACTTTGTTTGTTCTCCCTCTTGACTTCCCAAGCGCCACTGCTATTTATTTAAAAGGAGAAGAGATCAAGAACTTATAGGATATTTAAAAATAACAAGCCACAAAGAAAAATAAAACATACAAATAAGCCAACCAAACAAAACTCCAGCGAAAGTGCTATTTACAGCACTGCTAAAGAACAGAGGATTCAGTTGGGCTGATCCTGTGCTGCTTGCAAACACCTTTACCCCGTGAGCCATGAGGCTCAGATAATGTGCAGTGATAGTGATGTGTATGGAAGGAATCAATCCCTATTTCACATCAACACTGGAGACTGGGGGGTACCTTTGGAAGCATTTATTTTATTCTGTCCTAGGTTAGTTCAGGCTGTCAGTCAGGCGGTTCAAAAGCAGACAGTTTTAACAGAAGGAAAACATCAAGTAATTTGTAATGTTACCTGTGATCTTTGGCACAGCTTCAAATTGGAAGGTTGATGGCAAGGATGCAAGAAACTGCCCTTAAAGGGGAATGGAGAGCTGGCCTTTTGTGTCTGGGTGCTGCAGCTATTTCTCAGGCCCCACTTTTCTGTACTTTACAGTATTTGAAGAGAGAATACTCTGAAGTTAATAGAAGTTTTGCCATTTACTTCAGTGGGACCAAGACTTCATAAATGTGTTTGTTTCTTCTGTTGACTAAATTGCTATTATTGCTTTCAACACGTCATCTTAAGATTGATGCCTGCACCTCATAAGATGAAACTGGCCTCTGCATTGTAGAGAATACAGCTTCTCCTTGCTAGCCACTCTGCTCTCTCACACTGATGATCAGAGGAGCAAGTCCTACCGTAGCAAGTAGGGTCTAACTAACTTTGCAGGGTCTTATGAGAGAGGGGATGTGTTTTACTGGGGGAAGTGTTGTGACAAAAGTGTGATCAGATTTTTGAAGTGCGTAAGCTCTTCTCAGATGAGAGCAGGCATTTCTCATCTCCTTAGACAAAGGTCACAAGTATTTACAAAATCACAGCATATAGGACTACACTCAGGATGGAGATGGTCCTATTAAAAAGTCCTATAATCAAATCACTGCAGATCTGTTGGAAGAATAAAGGGGGTGAATTAGGGTTAAGATTGTGGAATAGCCTTGCAGTCAGATAAGTCTTAGGCTTAAATCTGTGAGCTGAATTTTGAGATCATCTTAAAGAGTGGAAGAAGATAAGGCAGATTAACCCTTAAATTATTGCTTGCTATGAGGAGCAGCCTGTAGATCAAAGACTTCAAGTCACTGGAGAAGTTTATTTTACAAACAGCCAGAGACTGAGACAGAGGTGAGCTGGTACTAGCCATAGTTAGCTCCAATGCCCCAAGAAAATTGCTCAGTCCTAAGGACTGAGAGGTACTTGGCAGCAGCAATCAATATGATGCAGTGGTTCTTTGATTGCCAGACAAAAGTTCAACGACTAAACTTTAATGCAGAATCTCAGAGCAAATGTTTTAGAAATTCCAATTGTGTTAAAGAGGATTAACTAGAAACATTGCCTTAAATTTTAAAAGCACAGGTATATAGTGATAGGCTGGAATGTACTTAAGTCAATGTTATTAAAGGTGCACTTATAGGCCACTCATTTATTTGAAAATACTTTTGTGGTAGGACAAAGTCTTAAGACAGAGAATTTAATTACTAAGCCACAATACAAGTGTTCAATTTGCTTTTCTCTCCTATTACTCATATTATGTATAGAACACAAATTGATTAGGCATTAGTATCAATTCCTGGAAAGGCTCAGATTCCCTATGCAGTCAGATTTCTTTTGCAGACAATTTATTACCTTACCTATACTAAGCATTAATATTGTATTTGTACCTCTGTGTCTACCAAAGGAAGTCCTGTCTTTTGCTCCTTGTACTTACTGGGGTCTCAATTATTTTAATGTACATTCTTAACTTTTAATAAATCAAAGGGAATTGTCTACACCATTAAACCCAGAAAAAAGTGATCAACTTGGCTGTTTTACCACCCACGCTGCACATTTCAACTCTTCTCACTTCACATTTGTTTCCATGGAACTCTCCCATAAGGAGAATCAAAAATTTCAAGGAAGAAATAAAGTAATAATTTATCAATAGTAAAAATTAAAATTTCCATCTGTGGCACTGTGTATGTCATGAAGTATTATAATTCCCAATAATGTAATCTGATTATATTTTAAAGTAATTATACTTTAAACTTTTCATCTTTTTTACCATCCTAACATGCTGCTGCTATCTATTCTCCTCATAGCATGGAATATATAATGAGAGAAATCATTTCAGCTTTAACTGATAATGATGCCAGCATCAAAATCAAACATGACTTTGTGCAAATCCAGACTGAAATTCATAGCTGGATCTGTGTAAATGTTTCTGCTGAAAGTTGATAGGAACTCCTTACAAAAGAGTTATCCAAGAGTGGATTTTAGCCCTGGTACCAGTAGCTTTGGTGTTTTCACTATCTAGATTCTAATTAAAATCCTGCCTTTAGTTTCAGCCAATCTTAAAGTTGCACAACACTTCTCATTTTTGGCTATTGTCATCATCCTGTCACTTAACATGAAACTTTCCAAACTGCTTGTGTCTCCTTTGGACTAATTTTTTTTATGTGGATTTGCATCTTTGGGATAAGGGAGAGGGGATTTTCAGATAAATTGTTTTAGCTGTTTTGAAGAGCAGGATAAGGCTTTCCCATCATTGGGTTGAAAAGCTCTAACTCTTATTTGCTCTGCAGAAACTTGGCAAAGTGACAGCAGTAGCAGATGGTACAGAGTGGGACAAGGGAGACTGTCACCTTCGTGTAATGGACACTTCAATGTTATTCCATGACAAAGATTCACAATCAGACAAGTTTTAACTTCTGAAAAATCTCGGTTTCATATGCTAGATGAGCAGTTTTTAAGGGGAGACAATGCAAAGAAGGCAGCAATAGAGACAGAAGCACAAAAGATGAGACAGCAGTTGTTGGGTAACAGCGGAGAACAGTGACAGAGGCTGACAGCATGATGTCAGCACAGCAAAGGAGCACATAAACATTCTGAGGATCATCTAACAGCTTCCCTTAAAAGAATGAGAAAACCAGGGAGGTGAACCATGAGAGGTTCTGCTGGGTGAACTGTCTGATGGAGGAAGGCGTGGATGAGATCACGTTTTACGGCCACATCCGTTTTGTGATGATTGACTGCACTAAGTGGCGTGGAAGTTCTCGGCACAGGAAAAAGCAGTGCTACTGAAACACCTTACCAAACCCAAATTTTCTTGTCTGAGTGGGAGGGAGATGTCCTCTGGAGTGTTTCAGTGCCTGATGACCCTCCTCAGCACGCTTGATGAATCCACATGCCCACTATACCTCTCCTCGAAGCATGAACCCATTTTTACACCAGACAGAGGGACTGTTCAAATACCTCACTTTTTGGGCTGTGAACTTCTGTCCAGAGAGCTCCATCAGGAGCCCACACATCTTAACAAGGTTCAACACTCTCAGCCAAGAGGCCTGACCTGTTGGGTTAAAACTATTGGAAAGGCTCCAGAAAGGTTTTCCCAGATTCTACAAGCAATGTAAGCTCTTTGTCCCATGTTAACAAAAGTGACAATGTAGGGGCTAACCTTGGCAGCTTGACAACATGATGTACAGCACTACAGGACCAACTGCTGCCTGGGAGAACAGAGCAGCTCCCACCAACATCTGATCACCTCCTCCCCATGGTGTTTGGAGTGCTGGAAACCTCTGACAGACACAGGCAGCAGTCAGGGCTTTTTCTACTTCATTTCCCTCAGTACCTGTTCTCATGTTGGATGTTCTCACACGCACAGGTACCTGTCTCTCCCTCAGAAACCTTGCTGAAGACACAGATGCAGCACCATGAGATCCAAATGGCAGAAATGCCAAAAGTCAGGCCCAAGGTTCTCCTGGAGCTCCTGTTTTGAAGTCAAAATTGATCATTTGCTGGCAAGAGCACTTGGCGTGCACTCGTTTTTGTGCTATCAGGAAGTACGCAATAACATTTGGTTATTATTTGGTTTTCTATTAGCTCTTGATGTGAGGGATTTTGATTACACAAAATACTATCATTGTGCTGAAACTAAATATCTGACTAAATCAAATAAAATGTTCTTTCTGTTGTCTCTTGAAATGCAGGTTTTCCATTGCTAATTTTTGCCATTTCTTTTCTCTGCTATTTTAATTTCCCCAAAAGCCAGTTTCTTGTAAGTGTAGTTGTTTGAGGTTATTAAAGTGGGACTCACCATTTACAAATATTACCGTTAGAAGCCTTACAATACTATTTTTCAATATTATGGCTATCACACAGACTCAACTAGTGTGAAATGGCTCCAAAACAGTCTAATTTACTTCCAAAAGAAGTTTAAAGTACGTTTTAAAAGAATTGTCTGTGATTCTGCTTGCAGAATATAGCAATAAGACCATGAAAAGAAGACACAGAATCACAAAGCAGTCTACATTAAACTAAAACAGTTTTTAAGATCAACACAGTAAATTTCTTTCTGACTTTGAGTCCCAAACATGTCTCAGTGTTATAACTTTGATAACTGCTATCCATGGTTTGACTGTCATTCTTTGATAAAATGTTAGTGTTGTACTGTCATTACACCTCTGTGGCAAGGAATCACACATTGAAAGAGAGAGAAAAATGACATTATCGGGAGCCACTATCTCAGAATCTGTTTCAAATTTGTATACAAAGCCATTATGACACCCTGCTCTGGCTGGTGCAGTAATGTTTTACAGCACAATTCCATCTGCAGATGTTGCCAAAGGACAATATCCTGCTACATTGACTAATGCATTTCCCTGTAAATAACCCTCTGATTTTTGTGGGACCTGATGCTGCCTCAGATGCCATTCAGCATGAATAAAGGTGTCAGAATATGGCCTGGAGTTATTATCTGTATAACCTAAACCTCAGTAAAGCAATGAGATACCCAGATTAATGGCTAATGCCTGGGATGATATTCCTATCTTAACCCTTGCTGTCTGACCAAAGTGAATAATAACAAGCTCATGGTATATCATCAGCCTCCAAAATACAGTTGCAACAGTATGAAATTTCAGAATAAATATCTGCCTTCATTCTTTTTTATTCCCCTTGTGGATTTAAGTCAGTTCCCTAAAATATTGTTTAATATGATTTTACAGATTTAATAGCATCTATTGACCAAGAGAGGACAAAAGTCAGTTTCTCTCCCCAGCTTTTTTTCTGCAGGATAAATTTGTTTGAGAGTGCTTTTTCTTTTCAGTCTTATGTTAAGAAACTTCTTCTCAATTATCTTTGAAGCCATCAAAAACTTTTCCTAGTTAATGGAAGGTCTTTAATGATACCTAACAACAACATATTCCACATACTACTTTGGGATGATTTGAATACAAAAAGCACTACAACAAGCTGCATTCTATTTTTATTCATTCTTGTATAATTTAGCACACCAGCTGTATTACTAATAACAGCAAAGTCTAGCTCACATATACACACCATGAAAGAAAAATAATAACTGATAATTATGCTATTGTATAATTTTAAATTGTATAGGGACATAAAATAAGCATGTATTTAATGATTCCATAAAGTACTCCAGAATATTTTTGAATATTGTAATAGAAAAATGAATGAAATTACCTTTCATTCCTTTGGTACTTTGAGGTCTTTCACCGTTGCCTCTATGGCTATTTTTTCATGCTTGCATAATTTTTTAATACAGCACAATCAAGTCTGGCAGAAATGATGGCCATGTCCATAGTTCTGCAATCTGGGTTTCTGATTGCATTTGCAGTGAATGTGTGCAAATAAAAGGCCAGGGCAATCTAGTGCCAAATTCTGTGTTCATAAATTCAGCCTAGGGCCCAGATTCTCTCCTAAGTGAACAAAGACAATGAGACTTCCAACTAAGGGAGATTCACCACACCCCAAACAGCACAAGTGCTCCCAAAAGAAATGTGCATTTCAAATGTTTAGCCAGGGCTATAGTCTGTATAATCTATACAGGAAATGCGTTTCTGCATGTGGAATTCACACAAAGTGAATTTTGGAGGAGGATGACTGGGTTTTAGGACAATAGGATAACAATCTAACTTACTATTGCTACCCTACAATTATGCCAAGATTAAATTACCTGAGAGAAGTACAATTCTTAATATTCCTTGGTCACAAGTAGTTTAAGTTCATAGCTTTGCCATTCCTGTGTGATGTTCCATGCAGAGAGATGTTTACTAATCTGAGGAAAAAAAAACTTAATTGCCACCATACTACAAAAATATCCAAGATTCAGAGGGCCAAACAGACAATAAAGGGGAAATAAAGGCAACTGCGATTCTAATTATTAATGAGGATGATTATCTGGTAGGAAAGCAATATAAGGTGATATTTAAGAACGGAAGTCTTTAATTTCCTAGATGGGAGATGTGTTATGTTAAAAAATTAGAGACTGATACAATTTCCTCTGGTTACAGTTTTGAAGTGCCTATCACTGCTGTAATTGCAAAGGCAGTATTCTGAATTTGCCCAGCAGAACAAACTTCTCAAAGCGTAGAAAATGGTCCCAGGGCAGGCATGAAATTGGTGCCATTAGCTCAGGCATGATGGCTGTGCTGCTGGGTATTCACAGAACTCAAACAGCTCAGAAGAGAAAAGTTTGGGTGCCAAGGGGGTCTCCAGACTGAAGCGGACATTTGGGGATTTCTGGCTCAGCTTGCAAGTGTTTTCTCATACCGCGCTCGAGGCTGTCCAGCAGGGTACATGGGCAAAGCCAAAAGTACATAAAAAATTGTGAAGAACTTGAGAGAGAGAAAAAATGAATTCACCTTTGGAGAAATGCACATGTTGACACCTTTTCTTCTGCCACAAGTTTGTCACAGGAGTGTAACTCGTGCAGACGTACTGGGATGCTTCCTTTACATCAGCTTAAAACCTGGGACAGCTGCACTCAAGGACTGAAGAGTTCTTCTTTAAATATGACAAAATATGCTGCAATAGAGTAAGCAAAGTGATATATCTAGGAAAGAGACATGTTGGAAGTAGAATTGCAAACCTTACAGATAAATAAATATACTCCATAATTACAAAACATAAGCAACTCCATTGAATAAAAAGATTCTAAAATTTGCTGAATGTTTTTGATGCTGATGACAAACACTTGAAATTACTCTTCAATTGAACACTACACTAGGAAAAAAATGCTCATACAATGCAGATTTTAGCTACGTCTGATAAGATCTGTAAAGCCTGAGTTGTATTGGCAACTCAATACCCTTAATTTGGTGGGAAAGTAACTCAAGGCAGTCTTCATTGACTTTTGCTCTAACACATTAATCACAGAAAGGAATATTTGGGGTATATGGGATCAATTTTTATGACTCCTCCAACCAGCTGGGATCACTGATTTGTTAGGGAATATTTCAAGTTTTTGGCTCCTTCTTGTTATGGATTTTGAGTTGTTGTTTGGTTGTTTGTTTTTTCTTTAATTGACTGACAAGATAGACTATTTCTTGCAACTGAGATACGGAATGAGCTTTTGACATGCAGAACTCTGAGGTCTTGTTTTAAAGTAATTATTTAGCTTTTACTTGAATGACACTCTGAGAGGGATTATGGAAGAAAATCATTATAAGGTTGCACATCAGTCAGGTTACTTTCTGTCCCTTCTCTTTGATTTAGACATACACTGCCAAACAAATCAAAGATTACACTTGGGAGCTGCATGCTGCTGTGATGGATCTCTGGAGAGGAAGAGAGAAAAATGAAGTTAAAAAAAAAGGTGAAAGGAAACGTGAGGAATGAAAAAAAAAGTTTCAGCAAGTGTTGGCTCTGCTGTCAGTCAAATGAAAAAGAAGGGACGACTTGATCTATTGCAAGATCATAGCCAAGGATAAAAAAGTAGAAATTCTCCCTGACAGAAACAAACACACACAGACATTCATTTTGATTCACTCAATTTTTTGGGTTTCATTGTTCTTTGATAGACAAGAGCTTTTCCCCTATTTTGGTGACATGCCAATTCACCAGTATAGCCTCTTGAAGGCACAATACACACATTCCATGACATCAAATTATATCCTGATATTGGTAAAGCTGAGAAATGAGAAGCAAAAAGGATGTTTTTCATTAATTTCAGAGCTATTAAAGAATATAATCTCTTAATGCCTCAAAATACTTGACTATTGAACTTTAACCATAAGTACCACTAATTAGAGGTCTGCAATGCCTGATATGTCTTCAGAGAAAAAAATCACAAACCAGCTCATTAAAACTGTGATGCTGGCTCACTGCAAACAGCTGTCAGGATGGGTAATTTGGGAGTGCATATGGAATGAGAGAAAAAGAGCTGCTGTAAATGCAATCAAAAGCAGGGGATGCATCAAAGCAAGCCCAGTGATTTACAAGAGGGTGAGTTTGTGAAACTTCCATAGGTGGAAATAAAGAAAGTAGGTAAGACTCCTTGTATCAGGAATCATCTCTAATAATCCCATGATATTTTCCCCTTGGTACAGTTTTCTACAGTGACAGGACAGTCATTACTCCAAGGGGTGCTCTCACAATTAGCTGACTTAATTGCATTAAAACTGTTTTTACCTGTGAATGTACACAGCCTATCTTGTACAAGCCTCACCACTAAATGTTTTACACTTGATTGAAGGGGCTGAGGGACAAATACAATGTCATTACAGTCATTACAGCAGAGGGTAGACTGAAAGCAATGTTTTCTTCAAAGTATCTAAAGAACCTTTACAAGATCAAAAAACTTTCATTAAATTGCATTCCAAAACCAATGCAAAAAACTAAATGTTGCTAAAAAAAAACTCTAAAAGTTTACTTTGCCCAAGCAGAGTTTGATGTTACAGCATGTTCAGATTTATGATGGAAGTATCTCAATTTATTTTTTAACAGGCTGCCTTATGTAAATCTCTAAGTGAGAGAACTCATTAAAAATTGTAGCAGAAAAAACTGTGGAATTAATCTATGAACTTTTATTCATGACTATCTGGCCCTAGAAAATTATTTGACATTGCATATGGATGTCAAATACTTGCAGACTGAACTCTGCTGGCTACCACTCTTACTCCCAGCTTGTAGCAATGACAGGCTTACACTTGAACTTAACTGCTTCATTACATTTGTTCTTACATCTTCTATCCCCGAAAAGTGATACATGCTCAGAAGTATGCCTCTATTACAAAACCTGTAAGTGTTCTCCTTACCTTGGAGATTTCACTCTTTTCGGTGAGATCTGTAGGATCCCTGCACATGAATCTGCAGGATTTTGTCCCAACAAATGCTAGAAAATAGGAAAGGATAAAATCATTGGTGCTTATGAGACATTCTACATTTTCTGAGCTCCAGTTTCTTTTGCTCTCTCAGGAAGCCTCCCACCAGGTGCAGTCTCTGAGGAGTAGTGAGAACTCCTGACGTCATAAATCCTCTGAGATGATGCATGAAGTGAATTCTGTCTTGAAAACTGCTTGATGGCCACTTAAATTTAACCAGAATCTACTTTCTTGAACACCGAAAGTATATTTCTCCTTTTAAAATGAAAATGAAAACTAATTTTAGAAATTTCCCTTAAAAATTATCAACTTGCAACAATTTCCCACCCTTCCCTTTTTTTTTTCTACCTTAAAAAGTGAAGATTTCAAGAAGAATTTTATGAACTTAGATAACGTGCATTCTTGTCTGAAGAAAACATTAACCCTCCATTTCCTTAGATCTGGTCTGCATTCTTTGTCTCCTCAGAGGCATTGCATTGCACAGATTTACTTTCTTTTGAATTTACAGAAATTTTTACAAAACTCAAATCAGGCTGGTAGGAGCCTTCTAGGAACTTGATCGGGATTTCAAAATGACTTTGTGTTATTAAATGGCTGGTGTTTTGTTTCCATTTTTTGAAAGTAGATGGGGAAATACAATCTTACTATTTCTCCTGCATCTAGAAACATAAAGCTTTCAGATATATGTGGACTTAACATTCTATTTGTTCCAACTAATGTCAGTAATGTGCAGGTCTGAAAAAAATTATTTTATATATTTATATATGTGTAGTCCCATCTCTTAAAATAAATTTTACTGTGAATGATGAGTATTTTCATTTTTAATCTAGTTTGCATGGAACAAAAAAGAATATTAGCTATTGATAAACAGAGATTCAATCACATAAATATTTTCTTTAAAAAAAGCAGACAATTGGGAACATTTTATTTACTCAATAATCCTATATGACTTCATCCCCAAAGGAAAACACTTTTCTAAAGATATCTGCATTGATTTTAATTAGATCAGATCAGCATAAACCAGTTCATTTTCAATAGATACTGACATTCCAATATTCCACATCTTATTGATTCAAATTTGTTTTTTGAGAGTTATAAAGAGACAGGAAAATGCAACAGAGGCTTGCAATACAGCCTGCTCTATGGAACCAGGTAAATCACACTTTGCAAAATCATTTTCCCCTCTAATAGAGTCAAAAAATGGTTATTATTCTTTAGGGTTGCTGCACTTTAATTTATTCTTCAATTCCCAACCACCTAAGCAGTTTTTTCAGACGTTGCACAGTCCATCATGTGTTGCATCTATTTTCTGTTTGAGAGAAATTGTCTTGATTTCCATAACAAAATAATACTTGGTGCTATTGTGATAAAAATACTGCAACAATCTGAGATATCCACTAACATTTCCATTTCTGCCTTTGTGCCCCATAAACTGAGATTACACCAGCACCATACTAATCCAGTAAACTTGGATTTGGTTGAAGCACTGGTCAAGCAGCATTTTACACATTAGAAATGACAGTCATAAGGTAATAATGCTTCTGTACAGAAGGATCTCTTTCCTTTTTGCACCAGTAATATTTTAGATCAGAAAGATGTGACAACTGATCTTGTAGAACGTGGCTACTGCTCACCAGCCTAGAATAGCCTGGGAAAATTGTTCAGGCAGAATCTCCAGTTGTTTTTCCCACTATTTCAAGGACTCTGTACATTAGCTGGCAGCAAAGTATTTTTCTGAGTTTGGTGTTGCCTCAAAGCTTTGAGATTTTGTTGGGAGCTGTAATTCCTAAAATATCCATCTCTATCTCCCTACCCAGACTTCTCCTTTGTACTCTGCCAGCCAGAGTTTTTTCCTCTTCCACTTATTTCTGATAAAACCTCCAGCCTCCAAAACTCCAGTACCTTCTTAGGAACATCAAGTCACTTGGCAGGCTAATTGCTTTTCTGCTCGAAGAAGTTATCAAGTGAGTACACTATTTTCTATAGTAATTACAGAGTGACCCCGGGCCAGACTGTGTACAACAACAAACCTCAGTAAAAAGGCAGATCTTTGCTATTGTAAGTGGATAAAACTCCTCTAGTGTCAATGGGGTTGTATCTATTTCTATGGGCAGATAATTTGGCTTGCAGTAGTTCCCTCGTCTTTTTAGGAAATATTTCTATATGAACTCCACCTATAATTGCAGGAAAGCAATTACACCTCTTTTACCTCCAAGGTTATGATGACCAATACTGTCTTAGAGTAGCAAATTTAATTCAAATCATTCTCTCCTTTGCCAATACATGGATCAGGCTGCTCACTTTCGTTTTAGAATATTTCAAAGTGCTGCTCGATAAAATCCCCAGATGGCAGAGCATTTAGGTTTCCTTCCCCAGTCAATAACAAATGTATGCTCCTTTCATTGTCTCTATTAAAAAGTTCATGTGCAATTACATCATGGAAAATTTGTTTCTCTTTTCCACAAATTCAGTTAAAGATGAAACTTCTTTATTTGAATGAATATTTATAGCAATGAAACACCATTGCTATAAGGACAAGGACTACAAGGAATGGATCAGTCTGCTACTTTTTCAGATTTAACTGCTTGTACCAGTGTGAGGCAGTAGCTGTTACTGGTCATGAATACAGAAGGAATAATAAAAAAAAAAAAAAAATAAAGGAAGAGGCTAGAGGGAAATATTTTAAACAATTAGCCACGAGCTCACAGCAGGATACGTATCTGAAGACAAAGCAGGAAACAAGGTCTCAGTTGTTTCACAGCTATTACCTGCTATGTATCATGCCTTGTTTAAAGATGCTTGTTTAATCATCTTGCTCTTAGCTTCAATGTTTTTTTTTTCCTTGCAGTTATTTTGTCTACAGGAAAAACACTGATGGGTTTATGAAGGCTGCCATTAACTCTGTCAGCCCCGAGAGACAACAGCAACTGCAAACAGTAACTTAAACTCAGAGTTGTTAAGCTGATTATGGCAAGGGATTTAATTCATGAACTCATCCTCACAGCAAGGGATGAAGGCCACAGGGATAAAGGAGATTGCTGGTGGTTGGATGCCTGAGTGAGATACCTTGGAATCAACACTGTGGGAAGTCAAACATACAGTTAACCCTGGACTGGTTCTATTTTTGAAATTCTTATGAAAAAATGCATCACCTGGCAAGATAAATGATGGCAGAGTTGGATCTCAAAACCTCAAAGTCATAATAATCAAATTAACCTTGTCATAACAAGTAATCAAATTAGCTTACATATATCTGTCTAGTTTATCTCCAGAAAACTGGGGAGTGTTTGAAAATCCCATGAGTAAAAACAGGAAGATCTGCTGTGTGAGCTCCTAGGCCTATAACAATCAAATCAACTCCCTGAAGAAATAGTAGCCAAGGATCTTAAAGGGAATCTGTACTGTCTGAAAGAGCTGATGTGGCAATATTATCACATCTTTTTGGCAAGCATTTTTACAAAGATATAACACTGCCAAGACAGGTCCCTGTATTCACCATCAGAACTCTGACACTTTCACATTTTGATGCTTTTTTTTCCCCTTAAGTAATAAAGGTACAAAATAATTGCAAGGATGAACCATGATCTTATGTGAGGGTTAAACCAAGAGGTAAAAGAATCTTGGCTACTTGTATTAAAAGAAATATTAAACCTGCACTTGTACATGCTCAAATCCATGTTCTTCCAAACTCTAGATTCCACAGTATGACTCTCACTGCTAAAATAAAAGTAAAAAATTTACCATATATCAAAAAAGGGAAATATTACTCCTGGGTGATTGTCATTGTATCTCAATATTGAAAAAAAAATTGCAGTTGTTTCTACTTATCAAGAGTAATGATTCTAACCATTCTCTCTGAATGCATGTGTTGTAGTCAGCTGTCTGCATTTCTGTTTCTCTAAAAACAGGCCAAAAATAATCCTGTCAGATTCTTTTGTTTATGTTCAAACAAGGTTTCTTTTCTGTTCCATAAGTCAGGTGACACTTTGTTAGTTTTATCTGCAGCATGTGTGATCCCATACTTCAAGTACACAATGTCTGTTTCTTTTTCATTTTTAATTGGGATTTTTAAGTGACAATACATTTTTATGCTGTACTTGGGTTTTTAAAGGTTCTCGTGTCATTTTATCTACTGTAATGTGGTTTTGCTCAAAGAAAGCTGGCATTTATTTGGAAAGAAAGTCGCTCTCAGTTACCTGCAAGACAAGTAAATCTGCCATCACTCTGAGCAGACTTGTTTATTTATTTTCTTGTTTACACTTCAAGTTCCATCAGAATTTCTATATAAGTTTACAGTAAAAACACAACCATGGCCATCGGGAGGGACATGGCTTTAACAAGCACTAGAGAACACCAACAGCCAACTTGAGACTTGAGAAAAAGAAAAAAAGGTGAGGAGAGAGACCTGTGAGGTTACCCAGAGAGTCAAATCCACACAGGAGGAAAATTCAGACTGGTAGCTCTCGAGCTCTCATTGGCAATGCCTGTTTTCTTCCCTTGAGAAGATAAATACATTTACCTCAACATTCCAGCTTCCTGTAGTCATGAAGTTACTACCTGGGGAATGATTTGGTTGCTCACACCAAAGATTACAGCAGAAAATTAAGTCAAAAAATGTGCTTACCTGAAATCCTGATGAGCCATCTTCAGAAGTGTGTTTCCATCACTTTTACCCCTCCTTGACAATGATGTTTATAACATCTTGATCAAGTCCATCTAGCCAGCATGCACATGCATTCATTGTTCATTATCCTGAGATCACCTCCTAATCTCCAGGTCCTTCACAGTTCTGTCTATCCTGCAATGATGAGATGTCCTGAAAGAAATACAGCAGAGCACTTACCATTTTAATTTGGATTTGCTAAGTGAATTTATTCATAAATAACAACCATTTTGTCTAAGGTATAAATACATGGCTAATAAAACCTATGTTGAAGTGAGGAAAGATTTCCAACTTGCCGACAATCTTGCAAGTTTTTAAGCATCCTCTGTAGCAGCATCCTCAGATATTTTACACCATGGAGCATGTGTCTGTAAGCAGTACCTGAATTCCTCACCAAAGTTTTTTTCCTTCCCAAGGGTACTGAAGTTTCACTTCAGAACAGCAATAAGTCCTTTAATCTCAATAAACAAAATAATAATAAAAAAAGAATGGTCTAAATGGTTTCCTGCTATTTACATTAACCTTTGAAAAGGTCTTCTGTTTTCTATACTACTCAATACAATTTTTATCCTTTACCTGAAAAATTCAGATTGATACTAAAAGCTGCATATTTTCAAAACAGCACCACTCCTCATAAATTATCCTTTTCCAACCATACAGTTGTTTTAAGGGAACTGAAATTGCAGGAACTTTGCCATTTACACAAACACCCAAAAAAACATAAAAAAAAATTTGAGACACTGTGGTTACCAATATGTATATATCATGCCACTATAAATTATTATTTGTCTCACCAACTACATTTAGATACAAAAGTTCCTAACAAAAATGCATTTGGACAATAGTTGCTTTCAGACTCTGGGTTTAAAATGTGTCTGAGAGAAGATATTCCAGCAGATGGATGTAAAATTCAATTCAGTGTAGTCTACCATTTTGGAACTTGGGAATAAAAGTTCCAATTTAGCCATAATTTTTTGTTTCCAAACCAGCCCTTATTCTGGGTCCATACTTTTTTGATAAGCCTTCTTTCATACATTTCTTTCTTGTCATATACATTATTTCCTTTTTTTTATATTCTTCCTGTTTTGTGTGGTCAGATTCAGTTTTCAGTAGAGGCTTTAGAAAATGCTCCTTTGAATAGCAAAACCAAAAGAATGTGGCCTTAGTCACTTCATATATTTAAACATAGATACATATATACACACATATATATGTATATACATAGATACATATATTTATACATAAGTTTGTAAAAGGATGCTCCAATACAAGCACATGAATTAATTAACATTGCCTCATTATTGAGTAGCCTAACTGCTTCTGAGATAGTGGACTCCTGACTTATCAAACCTTGTAAAGAATTTAATCTGTATTCTAGTGCTTTCTCTACATGTCTAGAAGCAATTTCAACTTTTCCCTCTTATATCAAGAAGGAAACTCGAGCCAGGAAGTGAAGAGTGTTCAGAGTAAAAGGCATTACATTCAACACCACTTTAAAAACATTACACATGCAGTGAAAATGAAGCTTGGAGAGAGAATGCATGCTTTGAGCAATTATAGGTGAGAGATTTTTTTTCAGATTGCACTTTATTTGTGATGTCTCACTAAACTGGCAGTTTCTTAGAGAGGGGAGAGTAATTTGAATTAATATACTATGAATTACATATATATTGCCATATGGATACTGCAATTCTTTAATGAAATAGAATTAAAAACATGTTATTTGTGGGCATAGCCAAAAGTGTATTTCCAGGGAGATGAATATGTAGCAAATCCCTGTAAATTCATAAGGCATCAGTGTAGGTGTCTTCAAGAAAGAAAACACACATTACCATTAATAGGAAATATTTGGCCCACTAGTAATTAATGAAATATTTTCATAGGCTTCTAAGTGTCTTATGTGCAAGCTCAAGCATCCAAGTGGGATTTCAGTAATTAATTTGTTTGTTTTAAGAATGAAAGTAGCTTCTGTGGCCAGCACTAAACTGAAGTATTTAGACCTACCTTCTGAAAATGTGATAACTTAATTAATTCCTTGATTTCTTTGTCTGAATATACAAACTTCAGAAAAAATATCATACATTATACTAATATCTTATCTAATGTATGTTTATGCCATCATTTCTTATTTTTTTTATTCATTCTAAGCCTTTCCCTTCTGTAATAAACTTTTGTGCAATGCAATAAGTTCCTGAGGAAAAGACGAAGGTTAATTGTTACTTTAACTACAACGTTACATGATTTCAGAGGGCATGTGTCTCTCAGGATTCAAATTACACAGTTTTTAATTAGAAAAAGCCAATAGTAGCGTATATTATAGGCTAGAGGAAGAAGTTTATATTTTAACAGGATGGATTCACTGAATCTGTTGGAATACTAGGATGGAATATGCTTTTTTTTTTTTTTTACTTATCAATATGTTTTAAAGTAACTTTGACCTTCAGAAATAAAAGTTTAGGTAAATGTCCAGAGGCTCACAAAATGATGATGATGATGCTTCAAAAAAACCTGTGTTTAAGTTGTTTTTTAGTCTCAAAAATTCAAGGCTTAAGCTGAGATGAATGAACAGTTATAAAGAAGATAAGCAATGTTATCCTTACATCCCTGCACACTCCCGACATGGAAATATTGTAAATGTCTCCAGAGAAGTCTACTATCTTTTTTAGGGGAGAAAGTCAATTGGTGTTTTTTTTCCTTTGTCAATCACATTAGTTTTGCAAATGTTCTTTTTTACAAGAGAGATTCCTCAGTAGAACATAGTGAGTAATTGCTGAGCGGGCCCTGCACGCCCAAAAACTGTACGGGAGGTTTTGGAGAAGAGCTTTCCCTTCTTAAAAAAAAATTATTTTCCCCATCTAGCCACAAGCAAACTAAATATCTTCCCTCTTCTCACTTTGCCTCCTCTGTTCTTTTCCATTCTTACATCTCATTTTTCAGTTCTGTGACTCCACTCTCTGTACTTCCCTCTCTACTCACTTTCTTTATTACTCCCTCTTCCCATTTATTCCAAACCAAGATAGGTGCTATGTAACCCTCCAGGAGGTTGCATTTCTCACTCTCCCTGAGTACTCTAATAGATATTTCTATCAATTCCTTATTTCTGGGCTAGACTTCTCCTGTGTCAACAGCCCCATTGAGTTTAGTGCAGCCACACACCCAAGCAAAGTCACTGAAAAAAGTTTTGAAACATTTGCTGGATGAGAACCTGCAACCAGACAGAGAATTTTTGTGGAAATTCTCAGCATATGTTCCAGTCACTGCTTAAATATCTGGAGAACTGATCCCAAAACAGGGTTTGCAGGGCTCAAGTGATGCACAGACCTGTCCCAGGCTCTCTCTCCTTACTAAGGAAAATGGAATGAATTGTTGAGCTCTGAACTGTGCTTCATCATATTGGAGTGAAAGCAATAATGACTCAAACATTCTTGGCCAAAATTTGTGAAGATTAATTCAGGACATCGAACATTCATTTATTAAAATGATAAAAAGTATCAAAAATTACAGAAGTATCTGGTATTTCTGTGCACTTCTGACACATAGCATTATAGCAGAAAAGGGAAAAAGAAAGGGATATGTTTTGCCCTTGAGAGCAATAATATGATTACAAGAAGACAGTTTCAGATCTAGTGAATATTTCAAACCATACATTTTAATGTGTGTTTCATTAACTTTGGGGCAGCAATGAAAAGGAGGCTCCTTCATGTTTTTTTTCATACTGTTCCACTTCATTATTAAGCAATGATGCCAAGCTGTTCACCAGGATTGCTGCTAGCAGGCTTGAACAGCTTCTGCCAAGTGTGATTAATGCAGATCAAACAGAGTTTATTCAGTGGAAGAGATTGGCAGATAACATTTATCATCTCTTAAGAAAGTTGGGATTTCCAGGCTGACGTCAGGCTGGTGATAAACTTAGAGGCTGAAAGATGTTTGACCAACTAGTTTTGCATATCCTTTAGAAGAAAGTTGAATTCCACTTTGATTAGATTTGAAACCTGAAGAGAACCTCATTTACATGCAAAGCCTCATCTGCTGGTTAACTTTGTTGTTAAAAGGACAAGGCTTATCGAGAGCTTATCAGTGACTACTTTTTTTCCTAAGTATGAAGACTGTGTGTCACTCACCAATACAGAGCAGCCTGGTACTGGCCAAATCAGCATCCTCAGGCTGCATGTAGGGTGGGGGGATAATGCAGCCTGGATTTAATTCCTGGGTGTGCTTTGTTAGCTGGAGCAAGCAGTTCCTTCCATTTTTTTGTTCTTTCTCTCTGCTTAACAGTATAAACTTTTCAGAGGCCCAAGTTCAGAGGAAGCCTGAAATACAAAAAAGTATTTTGCTGTCTTAGGCGAATATCTTTCTAAATAATGAGAAGATTTTAATGAGAAAACCGAAAGTTATTTAGTCTTTACCTTTCTCAAAAGCCATTATCCTTAGGTTGTTTTCCTGGCTGCTGAGCGACACAAAAGCTGTGTTGAGAAACTCATTCAGTTTCTAAGATCTATTGCTTGGCCTTGACCCTCTAACACAGACCTCTGCACAAAGATCTTCTTAGAATAACAGTTTTCCACTTCCTCCACCTTCCTCAGCCAAACACAGCCCTAATGGCAGTCAGTGTAATAAAAAGTCTCCAGCACAAGAAAGCAAGTTCCTAACTGTAGTCAGCTAATCTCTGAGACACCCTGTGTTGTCTCAGGTGTTTGGAGGCAGCAGAAAGCTCATTAGCACCAGATAAATCATGTCCCCAGGCTCAGCCAGTTCATCAAGGGGAGGTTATTGCCCATATAAAACTCTCCTGGGCACAAAGACCTTTGCTTCCCTCCCATCTTGCCTTACACTGGCATAACCTCTTCTGCCTGAGCAAGAATTTCTCTGCAATGACAAAAGTCCTTTTCTGATATCACTGTGACCTACCTAAGGCCTGTGTTGTCACCACCAATTTCCATAGATGACTTCTTTGGAAAGTGTTGTAGTTCCCAAGGCTCCAAATTAGAAAGTTTACTTGGTTTATATCTTACAGAAAGGATAGTTAATAAAATAAGAATAATTGTTTATAACAAGCAGTTTTTTTTCTCTACACAAGAAAACTAAGCAGAGAGATTATTTTTAAAACCACTCTCTATAGCTGCTTTTAGCAATTGCAGGCAGTATTTTCTGGC